TCGGCCTAGAAGATCGAGAGCCTGGATACCCGTGGTACCTTCCCACACGGCCGAGATACGCACATCCCGGAATACTTGCTCCATGTGGTTCTGCTTGATGTAACCGTGACCACCCCAGATTTGAATACCCTTGTTCGCGGCCTCGCAGCCAACCTCAGTTAGGAATCCCTTGAGAATGGGCCTGTAGGTATATATATATATATATATATTGCAAAGCTGAGGTGAGTATATGTAATACGAATGTATCCATGCGATTATTGACATCGAACATAACTCGGAAAGTGGGAAAACAATTAAACTGGGGAGACATAGCATTGCAAACTCCGTAAAGGGATGTACGCTTAGTATATACTGATTAAATGTGAATAGATCAGCGTCCAGTTGACCGTATACGGTATATGGTCACACCGATCACACAATGCCGGCACACACAAAAACAACAACGGTATACAACGTCAACTTATTAACACATAAGAGCATAGAGGTCCGACCACGACAGATACAACCAACTACTTACGTCAAGAAACCCATGCGATCGTCTATTTTGCGCGCTGCCTTGGTGTCACCGGCAGCCTCGGCGTCGGCCATATTGTCCCAAAGCAAGCAACACTCGGTGATCATAGACCTCGCTCCCTCAGAGATAGCCTTCTGAAACAGCAGGTTCTTTCTTACATCAGGATGCACAATGATGGGGTCGGCCGGGCCATCGGGATTCTTGATACCGGAAAGCGATCGCATGGCTAGACGCTCCTTGGCGTAGTCAAGCGCTAGCTGGTAGGAGAGCTCGGCCGCACACCCACCCTGAAGGGCCGTTCCTAGACGTGATGTGTTGATGAAGGTGAACATGTGGTTCAAACCTTTGTTCTCTGTACCGATTAGCACACCCTCCGCTTCTTCAAAGTTGATCTCGCAGGTAGACGAGCCGTGGCAACCCATCTTGTCCTCAATACGACCCACCTTGACGTTGTTGTAGTCACCTACGGTTCCATCGTCTGCGACATGCTTCTTGGGTACTGCGAACAGGGAGATACCACGCGTGCCTTCAGGGGCGTCAGGTAGACGTGCAAGCACACAGTGCACAATGTTATCAGTCAGATCGTGATCCCCGCATGAAATAAAGATTTTAGTGCCGGTGATCTTGTAGGTACCATCGCCTTGCGGAACGGCTTTAGTCTTGACCTGTGCCAAATCTGACCCACAGTGGGGCTCGGTCAGACACATAGTCCCAGTCCACTCCGACGATACAAGCTTGTGCAGGTACTTCTCTTTGAGCTCGGGTGATCCGTGTGCCAGGATGGTGTTGATAGCACCCTTGGATAGACCGGGGTACATCGACCACGTCCAATTGGCTGTTGCCACAAGTTCACTACTGATAATAGCCAGAGATGGGGGTAGACCTTGGCCACCATACTCCTCAGGGTAGGTAAGACCCTGCCAACCACCCTCGACATAGCTGTCGTATGCCGCCTTGAACCCCGTGGGCGTCTTTGTTTCAGTACCAGATACCCACGTGCATCCCTCAGAGTCCGCGGTCTGATTCATCGGTGCCAGATCGTTCTCAGCAAACTTCGCGAATCCGTCTAGAACAGCATCAATCATATCCGGGGATGCAGCACTGCCATCAACGTGTTTTAACTTCGAGTAGTGGTCTTGTATGTTGTACACCTCATTGGTCACAAACTTCATGTCGCGCAATGGGGCTCTGTAGCCACGCACCTGTGTGCGAGACGAAGAGTTTAACACCCGGGCGCCGACGCCCGCAAGGGTACGCAGAGCAGACTTTGCCGATTGCATCGCGTTAGCTATTTCTATATGTACTCTGTTGGTACGTGTCTAAATACTTACTATGTTGATACAAGTAACAACCACTAGTTTGGAAGTGTGATGTAGTTAAGATCGGTGGTGTGCCAGGTTACCAACTGAAGCGCAGGTATATATATATGTGTGCGTGCGTATACCAAACTACCAATGTGCCTATTCAAACTATCTCTGTTTCACTGCGAAGATGGAAATGCCTCCCAATAGTGGCCAATACATTTGAACAAATTTTCAATATTTCCAAACACCGACACAACCCAAATGCCAAGGCAGCTGATGACAAGAAAAGTAAGAGCACAAAATGACACTTGATTTACGACAATTACAATGAATAATAATTATATGTATTTACGACAAAAGCTTCTATGGTACACGACCAGCTATCAGACTGAGTTCTAGAACAAAATATTTTCAATGTTCTATATTAAATAGGGAGTAGGTCGCTTATCATGCGGAATCTGGTGGCTGGCAGCCGGCAGCTATTTGTTTTAATTTTTAAACGGCATTCCAACAAAGTCGAGCAATGGCTTCTTATTGCGAAATAAGTTCATTAAATTCTCAGAATTCAAGATCTTATTTGGCGCTGCAAAAGACCATTATATTCTCATAGATTGTATTTGGCAGTGGCAGGAGGTCTTTATCAAATTTTAGAATGTCATTTTTAGAAACCTATGATATTCTCTTGTGATTACATACTGATGTGTAGACATCTATAAAGTCATACATACTGTACTAAATAGTTTAAGAGTATGGTGGAGTGTTTTCCATCCCCCCTCTCCCCCACATGCTGGCAGTAGTCGCCCGTTAAAAACATTCATTTGATTTTAAAAAGATTTCAATGTCTCTGAGCGACACCTCTAAGGGCTCACGGTGCATCTAGCGACCTTAAGCGTGTAGGTATTCACGTATGCACCTCAGCTAGATAAGCACTGCACAGACTCGGTTGCACATATATTTATAGCCGCGCTTGCGCTTGTATTCATCTGCTATCATACTAATCCACGAAGCGCTAGTTTTCATAGACTTATGATATTCTACACGTCTTTTCTACATCTGAAGTTTCCATCCTACTTGTGATTTGTATAACGTTTAGACTCAAGGAAAAGTCAGAAAATTAGCTTCTGTATGTCGTTTATGAAGAAACTGGACCAGCATAGAGGATAAATCAAACTGGGCGGCGTTTCGACGGAGTACAGCAATTCACTCCTTCTGTCGAAATTCGACTAGCTTTGTTGTGGCGATACTACGGCAAATACAGTTTGTGCCCCATTACCGACTTAATTTCACATCCCCTGTTCATGCCTCAGTTTTACATCGCCTGTGTGCAACTATTCTAGAACATTACTCTTGTGTAAGATTTGTAGGCATGTTGCCTTTGCTTTCAGGAAGGATTGATATAGAGTTACAGAGTATACAGATCCATACGAATTCAGGTAAAGTGTATTGCAGATGGTGTCTAATCTAAAACTAATACCGAAATTCGCAGCCAAGACTGGCGAAGTTCATTCCGAGGTCGACTCGTGGTATTACCGTGCTAATACTATATGACCTTATCCTCAGCTTACAACGCAGTTTCTTTCCTGAATGTTGGATCAGAGATAAAAGCAACCACGATGAATATACTATACAGTTTATCGTGTGTATAGATATAGAGCCCACTTTCGTCCTTTCTACCCAGTTTCATGGCCACCGCAATTCGCGGTTGAAAAATTAGAGAATCCAGAGCTACAAACCTTTTTAAAATATAAAAATAGCACTAGTGTTCGTACTTGCGATTTCTTATTAAACTTATATTATACGAGTGTATTGCATACCGGAAGCAAGCCAATCCTGAAAAGGTGTGTCGTTAACTATAATGAACAAGTAGAAATAAAATGAGCGTATGGCTATTTATATCATTAAAAAGTAGTATTACAAAACCATTATACACCCATATACATAGATATATGGATGCATGCATATTTACGCGTGTATATGAATACACGATGGATCATAAATCACATTAAGCCTAAGAAATAGACTGTTGCAGCGCTCTGGCGAGTGCTTCGTCCTCGGTCATGTTGCCATTAACTTCCATTTGCGCCTGCACACTACACTGCCTTCCGTTACGCTTGGGTGCTTGTTGTGCTTTCTTAATCGCATGTACCTTGCTATCTGGCTTTCCCTCCTGGTTGATCCTAGCTCTATCGGCAGCAGCCAAGCCTGTCCGTGAACGAGGTGCGTCCTTCTTTGGGGCTTCGCATGCATGGGAATTCTCTAAGCGATGCTTCATGCAGTAATTCATTCTACAAGTCCGACAAGCAATGGGCACAGCCTCCCTCTTCTTACAATTCTTGAACATACAGGAGTTTGTGTACGTCTTCTTGCTTATCTCAATCTCCCTGCATCCTTGGTCTATGTGATTGCTCATAATAATATTGGGGTCTTCTCCTTTACGCGTGGGTACAGGGCTGTTACATAGCTGGCAAACCGGCACTTTTACATCCAGCTTGTACGCTTCCGGGCAATCATGTGCTGCATAATCTTTGTGTTCCAAGCATGTCACCTTCTCGCATTGTCCGCAGGTAAATGGTAGAAAATCGAGAAGATTGCAGTTTTCTTGTGCGCAGTGTTTACCGGCGGTTGGAAACTCCATTGTGTGTTTGTGAGTGGTTGTACTTGTGGTGACCCGATTTGAACTTTGGGGGGAGTTTGATGCAAGATTTATAGAAACTTGTTCGTTGTTACAATCCTACTTCGTATCCTTTTACCTCCTCGAATTATGACAAAACGGCCTCAGTTTTATATACTTAGTTTGTATATATTTTGTGGAATAGATTGTGGCAGCCATTCTATCTACGTATCTGATATATACAAACATGCCTTCGTTATTCGTACGTACACAAATATTTTAGTACATTCCTCTATCTCGCTTGATCTAAAAATTCGGTTGTCTGCAATCGGCATATTATTGTATTGTCGTGCTAAAACTGCTAGCGTCGATTCGGGTTCCCAATTCCCATGTAGTAAACGTTTAACGTAAATACACAGAAAAATACATATGCAGCGAAAAAGAGTTAAACAGCTCACTCGAGAATTACACCCAGCTGAAATCCCGAAAGAGCTATTATATCATAAACGTTAACTTTCAAGCCCCCCCCTTGTTTTGTTTTTATTAAAACAAATCGAGAAACGAACAAATTAATTGTGTGTATTAGTATGGTAGTGGCGTGTGATTGGTGGTCGAGTTCTGTAATTTTATATAGCTATTGATGGTTTTATAGCGAAAAATGAGTCATCAGAGTGTACCCTCAATACGTTTTACGATAAAATGTGTAAGCTTTGTGAAAATATATACTTTCACGTTAAACGTTTATATCGAAATGGCCCACAATGAGTTTATCGTCATACCTGAGGTTTATAAAGTAACCTTAGATTCACCTAAAATGTCTGTAAAAGTCACACAATAGGTGCCCTTTAATGGTCTGAGATTACACCGCAATTATTACCCAAGCCACTCTGGACATATTAACCGCACACAAGTCGGGCATACGTAGGAATGCAAAGCATGCACGGTTTAAACACATAATATACTTTACCGGCAAGGGTTTCATGCCTGAATTGTCTATATGTATTATTAATTTTTAAATGTGGTAAGCACTTTCACCGACACTGTCAATACAGTCATATTTATGATATAATGTTATTTAGTATCACTGTCTTCAAAAACATTAACATAGGCTCAGTGTTCGTAAGTTGTATCACATTCTGTCGCGTCCACAAGTTGTATCACTATCTGTTGCTACTTAAAGACTGGTTAAAGATACGTCAGTCAAAATGCCACAAGAAAATGAAATGCAACAATCAATAGCCCATTCTTTCGATACATTATGTGCGGCAATTGAGAATCGCATTGGCGGAGGCAACTGGGATGCGGTGAAAACGTTTGACTTTGAAGACGAATACAAAGCGCTGCACTTCATGGAAAGTGATCGGCATCCTCTAGTAGATCTGCTGGGAGGTGGCCCTTGCTTACTGTTAGTGCTGAAGGTATGGGCGATACAGCTATGTTTCACATTTATTGTATGTTTGGGGGTTGTCGAAGCAAATTACAATGTATATATATTTACATAGAGTTTAATCGAAGTGGAGTGTAAAGTGCCGCACTTCACGTAGTGTGATACGCAACCTCTGGTCGCCATATCACGGGGTGGTTTTAGCCGGGGTATGCGTACGTGCTATGTAGTTATATTTTGAATTTATTGGGGATGTGGGGTTCATCAAATAGCTCTCATGTATGTATGTACAATGGTTTTTGTCGTAGAGATGGAAAGTACCTTCAAATGCATTGTTTCTGACGACTTGCATGTGTATCCCAGTCGAAAGCACTGTTATCATCTTGTTAAGCTAGTATAGGTTGTATTTCTGATATTTCAAGGTCTAAACGCTATAGTGAAATGTGCACACCTCGTTCTAGCAGCTGTGGTATGTCATAGCGGGACATGTATTGTTTCTCATTAGCGTTTGTGTCAGATTTGCCTACGGCTGACCAGAATGTGTCTGCGAACACTGTTTGCACAAAAATTAAAAAGTGACCGTATGGATAGTGTAACTACTTTTTTCAGCGTCGGCGCCATACTTTGTTATTTCAATTGTGCAAGGACGCGCATCTGGGATGCTATCACGTAGATTTGAATATGATCGTTTACAAGGTTATTAACGAGTGGAAAGAGGTGGTTAGTTGACATTACCTCAAGGATGGAAGACTAGTAGCTTGGATACAAATTGTCCGACTGTTAAATGATCACCATAGCTACTTTCAACTAACCCCCGTATCTAATGAGAGAGGTGTGTGGAACCCCAGATCCACGCGCAAAATCGGGTCACGCGTTAGAGACATCGGGTTACGCGTTAGAGACATCGCGTGCCGAATGAGTTAGAGAGATACATGAGCGCGTTAACTGTACGTTAGTTTAGATGTGAACGTCTAGTAGAATGCTAATTTGAGGTAGACCACCTATTTCAGAAATAAACTCACATAGAAAACATAAGGGGTGTTTCCTGTTTCCCGCACTTGCCTGATATTAACTTGTTCGAGGGCATATCTCGACCAAACATCTCCACGGAATGATAGGGCTCGTTTTATCTCATTCCAATGTGTGACAGATATGGGACGCAAGGATATGCTTCAGACCTAGGTGCCGTGCTTGTACGCACATTATCTTCGTTCGTATTCTTGATTATAAGCACATGCCCGTAGTTGACAAATTAAATGGGAATAGGGGTTCCAAATTCTTCTGTGACAGCGGAGGAGTGGGTGTGTGCTACTGTGACTGATAACATTTTTGAAGTACGGCTCGTTGAAGGGTTTGGGCCTAGACTCTTACTTTGTCGGCTGTGTCTACTTTATTCTTACACCTCACGGACCATGCATTGCCCCGTTTCTCTGAGTGCGAGTATGAAGCCTGCGCGCCGCTATTTGTCACTGATCAATACTTCCTGCTCTCTTTGCCAACTATTGCTGACCTCTAAAGGATGGGCTGTCTCCGATCACCTCCAGTCCACGCACCGAAGTTTACACCAGCAAGGTATATATATTAATATATATATATATATATATATATATATATATATATATATATATATATATATATATATATATACTACTCTCGTCCTCGTCGTCGTCGTAGTTACGTTCGTACG